CTCTGCACTCAGATCCCTCCGCACTCAGATCCCTCTCAGATTCCTCCGCACTCAGATTCCTCCGCACTCAGATCCCTCTGCACTCAGATCCCTCTGCACTCAGATTCCTCCGCACTCAGATCCCTCCGCACTCAGATCCCTCCGCACTCAGATCCCTCTGCACTCAGATCCCTCGCACTCAGATCCCTCCGCACTCAGATCCCTCCGCACTCAGATCCCTCCGCACTCAGATCCCTCCGCACTCAGATCCTCCGCACTCAGATCCCTCCGCACTCAGATCCCTCCGCACCCCCCCCTCTCACTCTCAGATCCCTCCGCACTCAGATCCCTCCGCACTCAGATCTCTCTGCACTCAGATCCCTCCGCACTCAGATCCCTCCGCACTCAGATCCCTCTGCACTCAGATTCCTCTCCACTCAGATTCCTCCGCACTCAGATCCCTCAGCACTCAGATCCCTCCGCACTCAGATCCCTCCGCACTCAGATCCCTCCGCACTCAGATCCCTCCGCACTCAGATCCCTCCGCACTCAGATCCCTCCGCACTCAGATCCCTCTGCACTCAGATTCCTCTCCACTCAGATTCCTCCGCACTCAGATCCCTCCGCACTCAGATCCCTCCGCACTCAGATCCCTCCGCACTCAGATCCCTCCGCACTCAGATCCCTCCGCACTCAGATTCCTCCGCACTCAGATCCCTCCTCACTCAGATCCCTCCGCACTCAGATCCCTCTGCACTCAGATCCCTCCGCACTCAGATTCCTCCGCACTCAGATCCCTCCGCACTCAGATCCCTCCGCACTCAGATCCCTCTGCACTCAGATCCCTCCGCACTCAGATCCCTCCGCACTCAGATCCCTCCGCACTCAGATCCCTCCGCACTCAGATCCCTCGCACTCAGATCCCTCCGCACTCAGATCCCTCCTCACTCAGATCCCTCCGCACTCAGATCCCTCTGCACTCAGATCCCTCCGCACTCAGATCCCTCCGCACTCAGATCCCTCCGCACTCAGATCCCTCCGCACTCAGATCCCTCCGCACTCAGATCCCTCCGCACTCAGATCCCTCCTCACTCAGATCCCTCCGCACTCAGATCCCTCTGCACTCAGATCCCTCCGCACTCAGATCTCTCTGCACTCAGATTCCTCTGCACTCAGATTCCTCCGCACTCAGATCCCTCCGCACTCAGATCCCTCCGCACTCAGATTCCTCCGCACTCAGATCCCTCCGCACTCAGATCCCTCTGCACTCAGATCCCTCTGCACTCAGATCCTCCGCACTCAGATCCCTCCGCACTCAGATCCCTCCGCACTCAGATCCCTCCGCACTCAGATCCCTCCGCACTCAGATCCCTCCGCACTCAGATCCCTCCGCACTCAGATCCCTCCGCACTCAGATCCCTCCGCACTCAGATCCCTCCGCACTCAGATCCCTCTGCACTCAGATCCCTCCGCACTCAGATCCCTCCGCACTCAGATTCCTTCGCACTCAGATCCCTCCGCACTCAGATCCCTCCGCACTCAGATCCCTCCGCACTCAGATCCCTCCGCACTCAGATCCCTCCGCACTCAGATCCCTCCGCACTCAGATCCCTCCGCACTCAGATCCCTCCGCACTCAGATCCCTCCGCACTCAGATCCCTCCGCACTCAGATCCCTCCGCACTCAGATCCCTCCAACTCAGATCCCTCCGCACTCAGATCCCTCCGCACTCAGATCCCTCCGCACTCAGATCCCTCTGCACTCAGATCCCTCTGCACTCAGATTCCTCCGCACTCAGATCCCTCTACACTCAGATCCCTCTGCACTCAGATCCCTCTGCACTCAGATTCCTCCGCACTCAGATCCCTCCGCACTCAGATCCTCCGCACTCAGATCCCTCCGCACTCAGATCCCTCCGCACTCAGATCCCTCCGCACTCAGATCCCTCCGCACTCAGATCCCTCCGCACTCAGATCCCTCCGCACTCAGATCCCTCCGCACTCAGATCCCTCTGCACTCAGATCCCTCCGCACTCAGATCCCTCCGCACTCAGATTCCTTCGCACTCAGATCCCTCCGCACTCAGATCCCTCCGCACTCAGATCCCTTGCACTCAGATCCTCCGCACTCAGATCCCTCCGCACTCAGATCCCTCCGCACTCAGATCCCTCCGCACTCAGATCCCTCCGCACTCAGATCCCTCCGCACTAAGATTCCTCCGCACTCAGATCCCTCCGCACTCAGATCCCTCCGCACTCAGATCCCTCCGCACTCAGATCCCTCCGCACTCAGATCCTCCGCACTCAGATCCCTCCTGCACTCAGATCCCTCTGCACTCAGATTCCTCCGCACTCAGATCCCTCCGCACTCAGATCCCTCTGCACTCAGATCCCTCTGCACTCAGATTCCTCCGCACTCAGATCCCTCCGCACTCAGATCCCTCCGCACTCAGATCCCTCCGCACTCAGATCCCTCCGCACTCAGATCCCTCCGCACTCAGATCCCTCCGCACTCAGATCCCTCCGCACTCAGATCCTCCGCACTCAGATCCCTCGCACTCAGATCCCTCCGCACTCAGATCCCTCCGCACTCAGATCCCTCCGCACTCAGATCCCTCCGCACTCAGATCCCTCCGCACTCAGATCCCTCCGCACTCAGATCCCTCCGCACTCAGATCCCTCCGCACTCAGATCCCTCCGCACTCAGATCCCTCCGCACTCAGATCCCTCCGCACTCAGATCCCTCCGCACTCAGATCCCTCTGCACTCAGATCGCTGCACTCAGATTCCTCCGCACTCAGATTCCTCTGCACTCAGATCCCTCCGCACTCAGATCCCTCTCAGATTCCTCCGCACTCAGATTCCTCCGCACTCAGATCCCTCTGCACTCAGATCCCTCTGCACTCAGATTCCTCCGCACTCAGATCCCTCCGCACTCAGATCCCTCCGCACTCAGATCCCTCCGCACTCAGATCCCTCCGCACTCAGATCCCTCCGCACTCAGATCCTCCGCACTCAGATTCCTCCGCACTCAGATCCCTCCGCACTCAGATCCCTCCGCACTCAGATCCCTCCGCACTCAGATCCCTCCGCACTCAGATCCCTCCGCACTCAGATCCCTCCGCACTCAGATCCCTCCGCACTCAGATCTCTCCGCACTCAGATCCCTTGCACTCAGATCCTCTCCGCACTCAGATCCCTCTGCACTCAGATTCCTCTCCACTCAGATCCTCCGCACTCAGATCCCTCCGCACTCAGATCCCTCCACACTCAGATCCCTCCGCACTCAGATCCCTCCGCACTCAGATCCCTCCGCACTCAGATCCCTCCGCACTCAGATCCCTCCGCACTCAGATCCCTCCGCACTCAGATTCCTCTCCACTCAGATTCCTCCGCACTCAGATCCCTCCGCACTCAGATCCCTCCGCACTCAGATCCCTCCGCACTCAGATCCCTCCGCACTCAGATCCCTCCGCACTCAGATTCCTCCGCACTCAGATCCTCCCTCACTCAGATCCCTCCGCACTCAGATCCTCCGCACTCAGATCCCTCCGCACTCAGATCCCTCTGCACTCAGATTCCTCTCCACTCAGATTCTCCGCACTCAGATCCCTCAGCACTCAGATCCCTCCGCACTCAGATCCCTCGCACTCAGATCCCTCCGCACTCAGATCCCTCCGCACTCAGATCCCTCCGCACTCAGATCCTCCGCACTCAGATCCCTCTGCACTCAGATTCCCTCACTCAGATTCCTCCGCACTCAGATCCCTCCGCACTCAGATCCCTCCGCACTCAGATCCCTCCGCACTCAGATCCCTCCGCACTCAGATCCCTCCGCACTCAGATTCCTCCGCACTCAGATCCCTCCTCACTCAGATCCCTCCGCACTCAGATCCCTCCGCACTCAGATCCCTCCGCACTCAGATCCCTCTGCACTCAGATCCTCCGCACTCAGATCCTCCGCACTCAGATCCCTCAGCAATCAGATCCCTCCGCACTCAGATCCCTCCGCACTCAGATCCCTCCGCACTCAGATCCCTCCGCACTCAGATCCCTCCGCACTCAGATCCCTCCGCACTCAGATCCCTCTGCACTCAGATTCCTCTCCACTCAGATTCCTCCGCACTCAGATCCCTCCGCACTCAGATCCCTCCGCACTCAGATCCCTCCGCACTCAGATCCCTCCGCACTCAGATCCCTCAGCACTCAGATTCCTCCGCACCCAGATCCCTCCTCACTCAGATCCCTCCGCACTCAGATCCCTCTGCACTCAGATCCCTCCGCACTCAGATCCCTCCGCACTCAGATCCCTCCGCACTCAGATCCCTCCGCACTCAGATCCCTCTGCACTCAGATCCTCCGCACTCAGATCCCTCCGCACTCAGATCCCTCCGCACTCAGATCCCTTCGCACTCAGATCCCTCCGCACTCAGATCCCTCCGCACTCAGATCCCTCCGCACTCAGATCCCTCCGCACTCAGATCCCTCTGCACTCAGATCCCTCCGCACTCAGATCCCTCCGCACTCAGATCCCTCCGCACTCAGATCCCTCCGCACTCAGATCCCTCCGCACTCAGATCCCTCCGCACTCAGATCCCTCCTCACTCAGATCCCTCCGCACTCAGATCCCTCTGCACTCAGATCCCTTTGCACTCAGATCTCTCTGCACTCAGATCCCTCCGCACTCAGATCCCTCCGCACTCAGATCCCTCCGCACTCAGATCCCTCCGCACTCAGATCCCTCCGCACTCAGATCCCTCCGCACTCAGATCCCTCCGCACTCAGATCCCCTCGCACTCAGATCCCTCCTCACTCAGATCCTCCGCACTCAGATCTCTCTGCACTCAGATCCCTCCGCACTCAGATCCCTCCGCACTCAGATCCCTCCGCACTCAGATCCCTCCGCACTCAGATCCCTCCGCACTCAGATCCCTCCGCACTCAGATCCCTCCGCACTCAGATCCCTCCGCACTCAGATCCCTCTGCACTCAGATCCCTTGCACTCAGATCCCTCTGCACTCAGATCCCTCCGCACTCAGATCCCTCCGCACTCAGATCCCTCCGCACTCAGATCCCTCCGCACTCAGATCCCTCCGCACTCAGATCCCTCCGCACTCAGATCCCTCCGCACTCAGATCCCTCTGCACTCAGATCCTCCGCACTCAGATCCCTCCGCACTCAGATCCCTCCGCACTCAGATCCCTCCGCACTCAGATCCCTCCCACTCAGATCCCTCCGCACTCAGATCCCTCCGCACTCAGATCCCTCCGCACTCAGATCCCTCCGCACTCAGATCCCTCCGCACTCAGATCCTCTGCACTCAGATCCCTCCGCACTCAGATCCCTCCGCACTCAGATTCCTCGCACTCAGATCCCTCCGCACTCAGATTCCTCCGCACTCAGATCCCTTTGCACTCAGATCCCTCCGCACTCAGATCCCTCCGCACTCAGATCCCTGCACTCAGATCCCTCCGCACTCAGATCCCTCCGCACTCAGATCCCTCCGCACTCAGATTCCTCCGCACTCAGATCCCTCCGCACTCAGATCCCTCCGCACTCAGATTTATCCGCACTCAGATCCCTCCGCACTCAGATCCCTCCGCACTCAGATCCCTCTGCACTCAGATTCCTCCGCACTCAGATCCCTCTACACTCAGATCCCTCTGCACTCAGATCCCTCTGCACTCAGATTCCTCCGCACTCAGATCCCTCCGCACTCAGATCCCTCCGCACTCAGATCCCTCCGCACTCAGATCCCTCCGCACTCAGATCCCTCGCACTCAGATCCCTCTGCACTCAGATCCCTCCGCTCAGATTCCTCCGCACTCAGATCCCTCCGCACTCAGATCCCTCCACTCAGATCCCTCCGCACTCAGATCCCTCCGCACTCAGATCCCTCCGCACTCAGATCCCTCCGCACTCAGATCCTCCGCACTCAGATCCCTCCGCACTCAGATCCCTCCGCACTCAGATCCCTCCGCACTCAGATCCCTCCGCACTCAGATCCCTCCGCACTCAGATCCTCTGCACTCAGATCCTCTGCACTCAGATCCCTCTGCACTCAGATTCCTCCGCACTCAGATCCTCTGCACTCAGATCCTCCGCACTCAGATCCCCTGCACTCAGATCCCTCTGCACTCAGATCCCTCGCACTCAGATTCCTCCGCACTCAGATCCCTCCGCACTCAGATCCCTCCGCACTCGATCCTCCGCACTCAGATCCCTCCGCACTCAGATCCCTCCGCACTCAGATCCCTCCGCACTCAGATCCCTCCGCACTCAGATCCCTCCGCACTCAGATCCCTCTGCACTCAGATTCTCCGCACTCAGATCCCTCTGCACTCAGATCCCTCTGCACTCAGATCCCTCGCACTCAGATTCCTCCGCACTCAGATCCTCCGCACTCAGATCCCTCCGCACTCAGATCCCTCCGCACTCAGATCCCTCCGCACTCAGATCCCTCCGCACTCAGATCCCTGCACTCCCTCCGCACTCAGATCCCTCCGCACTCAGATCCTCCGCACTCAGATCCCTCCGCACTCAGATCCCTCCACACTCAGATCCCTCCGCACTCAGATCCCTCCGCACTCAGATCCCTCCGCACTCAGATCCTCCGCACTCAGATCCCTCCGCACTCAGATCCCTCTGCACTCAGATCCCTCCGCACTCAGATCCTCCGCACTCAGATCCCTCTGCACTCAGATCCCTCCGCACTCAGATCCCTCCGCACTCAGATCCCTCTGCACTCAGATCCCTCTGCACTCAGATTCCTCCGCACTCAGATTCCTCTGCACTCAGATCCCTCCGCACTCAGATCCCTCTCAGATTCCTCCGCACTCAGATTCCTCCGCACTCAGATCCCTCCGCACTCAGATCCCTCCGCACTCAGATCCCTCCGCACTCAGATCCCTCCGCACTCAGATCCTCCGCACTCAGATCCCTCCGCACTCAGATCCTTCGCACTCAGATCCCTGCACTCAGATCCCTCCGCACTCAGATCCCTCCGCACTCAGATCCCTCCGCACTCAGATCCCTCCGCACTCAGATCCCTCCGCACTCAGATCCCTCCGCACTCAGATCCTCCGCACTCAGATCCCCCTCACTCAGATCCCTCGCACTCAGATCCTCCGCACTCAGATCCCTCCGCACTCAGATCCCTCCGCACTCAGATCCCTCCGCACTCAGATCCCTCCGCACTCAGATCCCTCCGCACTCAGATCCCTCCGCACTCAGATCCCTCGCACTCAGATCCCTCCGCACTCAGATCCCTCCGCACTCAGATCCCTCCGCACTCAGATCCCTCCGCACTCAGATCCCTCCGCACTCAGATCCCTCGCACTCAGATCCCTCGCACTCAGATCCCTCCGCACTCAGATCCCTCCGCACTCAGATCCCTCTGCACTCAGATCCCTCCGCACTCAGATCCCTCCGCACTCAGATCCCTCTGCACTCAGATCCCTCTGCACTCAGATCCCTCCGCACTCAGATCCCTCCGCACTCAGATCCCTCCGCACTCAGATCCCTCCGCACTCAGATCCCTCCGCACTCAGATCCCTCCGCACTCAGATCCCTCGCACTCAGATCCCTCCGCACTCAGATCCCTCCGCACTCAGATCCCTCCGCACTCAGATCCCTCCGCACTCAGATCCCTCCGCACTCAGATCCCTCCGCACTCAGATCCCTCCGCACTCAGATCCCTCCGCACTCAGATCCCTCCGCACTCAGATCCCTCCGCACTCAGATCCCTCCGCACTCAGATCCCTCCGCACTCAGATCCCTCTGCACTCAGATCCCTCCGCACTCAGATCCCTCCGCACTCAGATCCCTCGCACTCAGATCCCTCTGCACTCAGATCCCTCCGCACTCAGATCCCTCTGCACTCAGATCCCTCGCACTCAGATCCCTCTCAGATCCCTCCGCACTCAGATCCCTCCGCACTCAGATCCTCCGCACTCATCCCTCCGCACTCAGATCCCTCCGCACTCAGATCCCTCCGCACTCATCCTCTCGCACTCAGATCCCTCCGCACTCAGATCCCTCCGCACTCAGATCCCTCCGCACTCAGATCCCTCCGCACTCAGATCCCTCCGCACTCAGATCCTCCGCACTCAGATCCCTCCGCACTCAGATCCCTCCGCACTCAGATCCCTCTCACTCAGATCCCTCCGCACTCAGATCCCTCCGCACTCAGATCCCTCCGCACTCAGATCCCTCCGCACTCAGATCCCTCCGCACTCAGATCCCTCCGCACTCAGATCCCTCCGCACTCAGATCCCTCCGCACTCAGATCCCTCCGCACTCAGATCCCTCCGCACTCAGATCCCTCCGCACTCAGATCCCTCTGCACTCAGATCCCTCTGCACTCAGATTCCTCTGCACTCAGATCCCTCTGCACTCAGATCCCTCTCAGATTCCTCCGCACTCAGATTCCTCCGCACTCAGATCCCTCTGCACTCAGATCCCTCTGCACTCAGATCCCTCCGCACTCAGATCCCTCCGCACTCAGATCCCTCCGCACTCAGATCCCTCCGCACTCAGATCCCTCGCACTCAGATCCCTCCGCACTCAGATCCCTCCGCACTCAGATCCCTCCGCACTCAGATCCCTCCGCACTCAGATCCCTCCGCACTCAGATCCCTCCGCACTCAGATCCCTCCGCACTCAGATCCCTCCGCACTCAGATCCCTCGCACTCAGATCCCTCGCACTCAGATCCTCCGCACTCAGATCCCTCCGCACTCAGATCCCTCGCACTCAGATCCCTCGCACTCAGATCCCTCCGCACTCAGATCCCTCCGCACTCAGATCCCTCCACACTCAGATCCCTCTCGCACTCAGATCCCTCTCAGATCCCTCCGCACTCAGATCCTCCGCACTCAGATCCCTCTGCACTCAGATCCCTCTGCACTCAGATCCCTCCGCACTCAGATCCCTCGCACTCAGATCCCTCCGCACTCAGATCCCTCCGCACTCAGATCCCTCCGCACTCAGATCCCTCCGCACTCAGATCCCTCCGCACTCAGATCCTCCGCACTCAGATCCCCCGCACTCAGATCCTCCGCACTCAGATCCCTCCGCACTCAGATCCCTCTGCACTCAGATCCCTCGCACTCAGATCCCTCCGCACTCAGATCCCTCCGCACTCAGATCCCTCCGCACTCAGATCCTCCGCACTCAGATCCCTCGCACTCAGATCTCCCGCACTCAGATCCCTCCGCACTCAGATCCCTCCGCACTCAGATCCCTCCGCACTCAGATCCCTCCGCACTCAGATCCCTCCGCACTCAGATCCCTCCGCACTCAGATCCCTCCGCACTCAGATCCCTCCGCACTCAGATCCCTCCGCACTCAGATCCCTCGCACTCAGATCCCTCCGCACTCAGATCCCTCCGCACTCAGATCCCTCCGCACTCAGATCCTCCGCACTCAGATCCCTCCGCACTCAGATCCCTCTGCACTCAGATCCCTCTGCACTCAGATCCCTCTGCACTCAGATTCCTCCGCACTCAGATCCTCCGCACTCAGATCCCTCCGCACTCAGATCCCTGCACTCAGATCCCTCCGCACTCAGATCCCTCCGCACTCAGATCCCTCCGCACTCAGATCCCTCCGCACTCAGATCCTCTGCACTCAGATCTCTCCACTCAGATCCCCGCACTCAGATCCCTCCGCACTCAGATCCCTCCACTCAGATCCCTCCGCACTCAGATCCCTCCGCACTCAGATCCCTCCGCACTCAGATCCCTCCGCACTCAGATCCCCTCGCACTCAGATCCCTCCGCACTCAGATCCTCGCACTCAGATCCCTCCGCACTCAGATCCCTCTGCACTCAGATCCCTCCGCACTCAGATCCCTCCGCACTCAGATCCCTCCGCACTCAGATCCCTCCGCACTCAGATCCCTCTGCACTCAGATCCTCTGCACTCAGATCCCTCTGCACTCAGATCCCTCCGCACTCAGATCCCTCTCAGATCCTCCGCACTCAGATCCCTCCGCACTCAGATCCCTCTGCACTCAGATCCCTCTGCACTCAGATTCCTCCGCACTCAGATCCTCCGCACTCAGATCCCTCCGCACTCAGATCCCTCCGCACTCAGATCCTCCGCACTCAGATCCCTCCGCACTCAGATCCCTCCGCACTCAGATCCCTCCGCACTCAGATCCCTCCGCACTCAGATCCCTCCGCACTCAGATCCCTCCGCACTCAGATCCCTCCGCACTCAGATCCCTCCGCACTCAGATCCCTCCGCACTCAGATCCCTCCGCACTCAGATCCCTCCGCACTCAGATCCCTCTGCACTCAGATCCCTCCGCACTCAGATCCCTCTCAGATTCCTCTGCACTCAGATCCCTCCGCACTCAGATCCCTCCGCACTCAGATCCCTCCGCACTCAGATTCCTCCGCACTCAGATCCTCCGCACTCAGATCCCTCCGCACTCAGATCCTCCGCACTCAGATCCCTCCGCACTCAGATCCCTCCGCACTCAGATCCCTCCGCACTCAGATCCCTCCGCACTCAGATCCCTCCGCACTCAGATCCCTCCGCACTCAGATCCCTCCGCACTCAGATCCCTCCGCACTCAGATCCCTCCGCACTCAGATCCCTCCGCACTCAGATCCCTCCGCACTCAGATCCCTCCGCACTCAGATCCCTCCGCACTCAGATCCCTCCGCACTCAGATCCCTCCGCACTCAGATCCCTCCGCACTCAGATCCCTCCGCACTCAGATCCCTCCGCACTCAGATCCCTCTGCACTCAGATCCCTCCGCACTCAGATCCCTCCGCACTCAGATCCCTCCGCACTCAGATCCCTCCGCACTCAGATCCCTCTGCACTCAGATCCCTCCGCACTCAGATCCCTCTCAGATTCCTCCGCACTCAGATCCCTCCGCACTCAGATCCCTCTGCACTCAGATCCCTCTGCACTCAGATTCCTCCGCACTCAGATCCCTCCGCACTCAGATCCCTCCGCACTCAGATCCCTCCGCACTCAGATCCCTCCGCACTCAGATCCCTCCGCACTCAGATCCCTCGCACTCAGATCCCTCCGCACTCAGATCCCTCCGCACTCAGATCCCTCCGCACTCAGATCCCTCCGCACTCAGATCCCTCCGCACTCAGATCCCTCCGCACTCAGATCCCTGCACTCAGATCCCTCCGCACTCAGATCCCTCCGCACTCAGATCCTCCGCACTCAGATCCCTCCGCACTCAGATCCCTCGCACTCAGATCCCTCCGCACTCAGATCCCTCCGCACTCAGATCCCTCCGCACTCAGATCCCTCCGCACTCAGATCCCTCCGCACTCAGATCCCTCTCAGATTCCTCCGCACTCAGATTCCTCCGCACTCAGATCCCTCTGCACTCAGATCCCTGCACTCAGATCCCTCCGCACTCAGATCCCTCCGCACTCAGATCCCTCCGCACTCAGATCCCTCCGCACTCAGATCCCTCCGCACTCAGATCCCTCCGCACTCAGATCCCTCGCACTCAGATCCCTCCGCACTCAGATCCCTCCGCACTCAGATCCCTCCGCACTCAGATCCCTCCGCACTCAGATCCCTCCGCACTCAGATCCCTCCGCACTCAGATCCCTCCGCACTCAGATCCCTCCGCACTCAGATCCCTCCGCACTCAGATCCCTCCGCACTCAGATCCCTCCGCACTCAGATCCCTCCGCACTCAGATCCTCCGCACTCAGATCCTCTGCACTCAGATCCCTCTGCACTCAGATTCCTCCGCTCAGATCCCTCGCACTCAGATCCCTCCGCACTCAGATCCCTCCGCACTCAGATCCCTCCGCACTCAGATCCCTCCGCACTCAGATCCCTCCGCACTCAGATCCCTCCGCACTCAGATCCCTCCGCACTCAGATCCCTCCGCACTCAGATCCCTCCGCACTCAGATCCCTCCGCACTCAGATCCCTCCTGCACACTCAGATCCCTCCGCACTCAGATCCTCCGCACTCAGATCCCTCCGCACTCAGATCCCTCCGCACTCAGATCCCTCCGCACTCAGATCCTCCGCACTCAGATCCCTCCGCACTCAGATCCCTCCGCACTCAGATCCCTCCACATCAGATCCCTCGCACTCAGATCCTCCGCACTCAGATCCCTTCAGATCCTCGCACTCAGATCCTCCGCACTCAGATCCCTCTGCACTCAGATCCCTCTGCACTCAGATTCTCCGCACTCAGATCCCTCCGCACTCAGATCCTCCGCACTCAGATCCCTCCGCACTCAGATCCCTCCGCACTCAGATCCCTCCGCACTCAGATCCCTCCGCACTCAGATCCCTCGCACTCAGATCCCTCCGCACTCAGATCCCTCCGCACTCAGATCCTCCGCACTCAGATCCCTCCGCACTCAGATCCTCCGCACTCAGATCCCTCCGCACTCAGATCCCTCCGCACTCAGATCCCTCCGCACTCAGATCCCTCCGCACTCAGATCCCTCCGCACTCAGATCCCTCCGCACTCAGATCCCTCCGCACTCAGATCCTCCGCACTCAGATCCCTCCGCACTCAGATCCCTCCGCACTCAGATCCCTCCGCACTCAGATCCCTCCGCACTCAGATCCCTCGCACTCAGATCCCTCCGCACTCAGATCCCTCCGCACTCAGATCCCTCCGCACTCAGATCCCTCCGCACTCAGATCCTCCGCACTCAGATCCCTCGCACTCAGATCCCTCCGCACTCAGATCCCTCCGCACTCAGATCCCTCCGCACTCAGATCCCTCCGCACTCAGATCCCTCCGCACTCAGATCCCTCCGCACTCAGATCCCTCCGCACTCAGATCCCTCGCACTCAGATCCCTCCGCACTCAGATCCCTCTCAGATCCCTCCGCACTCAGATTCCTCCGCACTCAGATCCCTCTGCACTCAGATCCCTCCGCACTCAGATTCCTCCGCACTCAGATCCCTCCGCACTCAGATCCCTCCGCACTCAGATCCCTCCGCACTCAGATCCCTCCGCACTCAGATCCCTCCGCACTCAGATCCCTCCGCACTCAGATCCCTCCGCACTCAGATCCCTCCGCACTCAGATCCCTCCGCACTCAGATCCCTCCGCACTCAGATCCCTCCGCACTCAGATCCCTCCGCACTCAGATCCCTCGCACTCAGATCCCTCGCACTCAGATCCCTCCGCACTCAGATCCCTCCGCACTCAGATCCCTCTGCACTCAGATTCCTCTGCACTCAGATTCCTCCGCACTCAGATCCCTCCGCACTCAGATCCTCCGCACTCAGATCCCTCCGCACTCAGATCCCTCCGCACTCAGATCCCTCCGCACTCAGATCCCTCCGCACTCAGATCCCTCCGCACTCAGATCCCTCGCACTCAGATCCCTCGCACTCAGATTCCTCCGCACTCAGATCCCTCCGCACTCAGATCCCTCCGCACTCAGATCCCTCCGCACTCAGATCCCTCCGCACTCAGATCCCTCTGCACTCAGATCCTCTCCACTCAGATCCCTCCGCACTCAGATCCCTCCGCACTCAGATCCCTCCGCACTCAGATCCCTCCGCACTCAGATCCCTCCGCACTCAGATCCCCTCCGCTCAGATCCCTCCGCACTCAGATCCCTCCGCACTCAGATCCCTCCGCACTCAGATCCCTCGCACTCAGATCCCTCTGCACTCAGATCCCTCCGCACTCAGATCCCTCCGCACTCAGATCCCTCCGCACTCAGATCCCTCTCAGATCCCTCCGCACTCAGATCCCTCCGCACTCAGATCCCCTGCACTCAGATCCCTCCGCACTCAGATCCCTCCGCACTCAGATCCCTCGCACTCAGATCCTCCGCACTCAGATCCCTCCGCACTCAGATCCCTCCGCACTCAGATCCCTCCGCACTCAGATCCTCCGCACTCAGATCCCTCCGCACTCAGATCCCTCCGCACTCAGATCCCTCCGCACTCAGATCCCTCTGCACTCAGATCCCTCTGCACTCAGATCCCTCCGCACTCAGATCCCTCCGCACTCAGATCCCTCCGCACTCAGATCCCTCCGCACTCAGATCCTCCGCACTCAGATCCCTCTGCACTCAGATCCTCCGCACTCAGATCCCTCCGCACTCAGATCCCTCCGCACTCAGATCCTCCGCACTCAGATCCCTCGCACTCAGATCCCTCCGCACTCAGATCCTCCGCACTCAGATCCCTCCGCACTCAGATCCCTCCGCACTCAGATCCCTCCGCACTCAGATCCCTCCGCACTCAGATCCTCCGCACTCAGATCCCTCCGCACTCAGATCCCTCCGCACTCAGATCCCTCCGCACTCAGATCCCTCGCACTCAGATCCCTCTGCACTCAGATCCCTCCGCACTCAGATCCCTCCGCACTCAGATCCCTCCGCACTCAGATCCCTCCGCACTCAGATCCCTCCGCACTCAGATCCCTCCGCACTCAGATCCCTCCGCACTCAGATCCCTCCGCACTCAGATCCCTCGCACTCAGATCCCTCCGCACTCAGATCCCTCCGCACTCAGATCCCTCTGCACTCAGATCCCCCTGCACTCAGATCCCTCCGCACTCAGATCCCTCCGCACTCAGATCCCTCTGCACTCAGATCCTCTGCACTCAGATCCCTCCGCACTCAGATCCCTCTGCACTCAGATCCCTCTGCACTCAGATCCTCTGCACTCAGATCCCTCCGCACTCAGATCCTCCGCACTCAGATCCCTCCGCACTCAGATCCCTCCGCACTCAGATCCCTCCGCACTCAGATCCCTCTGCACTCAGATCCCTCTGCACTCAGATCCCTCCGCACTCAGATCCCTCCGCACTCAGATCCCTCCGCACTCAGATCCCTCTGCACTCAGATCCCTCTGCACTCAGATCCCTCTGCACTCAGATCCCTCCGCACTCAGATCCCTCCGCACTCAGATCCCTCCGCACTCAGATCCCTCTGCACTCAGATCCTCCGCACTCAGATCCCTCCGCACTCAGATCCCTCCGCACTCAGATCCCTCCGCACTCAGATCCCTCCGCACTCAGATCCCTCCGCACTCAGATCCCTCCGCACTCAGATCCTCCGCACTCAGATCCCTCCGCACTCAGATCCCTCGCACTCAGATCCCTCGCACTCAGATCCCTCCGCACTCAGATCCCTCCGCACTCAGATCCCTCGCACTCAGATCCCTCCGCACTCAGATCCCCCGCACTCAGATCCCTCCGCACTCAGATCCCTCCGCACTCAGATCCCTCCGCACTCAGATCCCTCCGCACTCAGATCCCTCGCACTCAGATCCCTCCGCACTCAGATCCCTCGCACTCAGATCCCTCCGCACTCAGATCCCTCCGCACTCAGATCCTCCGCACTCAGATCCCTCCGCACTCAGATCCCTCTGCACTCAGATCCTCGCACTCAGATCCCTCCGCACTCAGATCCCTCCGCACTCAGATCCCTCCGCACTCAGATCCTCGCACTCAGATCCCTCTGCACTCAGATCCCTCCGCACTCAGATCCCTCCGCACTCAGATCCTCCGCACTCAGATCCCTCCGCACTCAGATCCCTCCGCACTCAGATCCTCCGCACTCAGATCCTCCGCACTCAGATCCCTCCGCACTCAGATCCCTCCGCACTCAGATCCCTCCGCACTCAGATCCCTCGCACTCAGATCCTCTGCACTCAGATCCCTCCGCACTCAGATCCCTCTGCACTCAGATCCCTCCGCACTCAGATCCCTCTCAGATCTCCCCGCACTCAGATCCTCCGCACTCAGATCCCTCTGCACTCAGATCCCTCTGCACTCAGATCCTCCGCACTCAGATCCTCCGCACTCAGATCCCTCCGCACTCAGATCCCTCCGCACTCAGATCCCTCCGCACTCAGATCCCTCTGCACTCAGATCCCTCTGCACTCAGATCCCTCGCACTCAGATCCCTCCGCACTCAGATCCCTCCGCACTCAGATCCCTCCGCACTCAGATCCCTCCGCACTCAGATCCCTCCGCACTCAGATCCCTCCGCACTCAGATCCCTCCGCACTCAGATCCTCCGCACTCAGATCCCTCCGCACTCAGATCCCTCCGCACTCAGATCCCTCCGCACTCAGATCCCTCTCTCAGATTCCTCCGCACTCAGATCCTCGCACTCAGATCCCTCGCACTCAGATCCCTCTGCACTCAGATCCTCCGCACTCAGATCCCTCCGCACTCAGATCCCTCGCACTCAGATCCCTCCTGCACTCAGATCCCTCTGCACTCAGATCCCTCCGCACTCAGATCCCTCTCAGATCCTCCGCACTCAGATCCCTCGCACTCAGATCCCTCTGCACTCAGATCCCTCTGCACTCAGATCCCTCCGCACTCAGATCCCTCCGCACTCAGATCCCTCCGCACTCAGATCCCTCCGCACTCAGATCCCTCCGCACTCAGATCCCTCCGCACTCAGATCCCTCTGCACTCAGATCCCTCTGCACTCAGATTCCTCCGCACTCAGATCTCCGCACTCAGATCCCTCCGCACTCAGATCCTCCGCACTCAGATCCCTCGCACTCAGATCCCTCCGCACTCAGATCCCTCCGCACTCAGATCCCTCCGCACTCAGATCCCTCTGCACTCAGATCCTCTGCACTCAGATCCTCCTGCACTCAGATCCTCCGCACTCAGATCCTCTGCACTCAGATCCCTCCGCACTCAGATCCCTCTCAGATCCCTCCGCACTCAGATCCTCCGCACTCAGATCCCTCCGCACTCAGATCCCTCTGCACTCAGATCCTCCGCACTCAGATCCCTCCGCACTCAGATCCCTCCGCACTCAGATCCCTCCGCACTCAGATCCCTCCGCACTCAGATCCCTCTGCACTCAGATCCCTCTGCACTCAGATCCTCCGCACTCAGATCCCTCCGCACTCAGATCCCTCCGCACTCAGATCCCTCCGCACTCAGATCCCTCTGCACTCAGATCCCTCCGCACTCAGATCCCTCCGCACTCAGATCCCTCCGCACTCAGATCCCTCCGCACTCAGATCCCTCTCGCACTCAGATCCTCCGCACTCAGATCCCTCGCACTCAGATCCCTCTGCACTCAGATCCTCTGCACTCAGATCCCTCCGCACTCAGATCCCTCCGCACTCAGATCCCTCCGCACTCAGATCCCTCGCACTCAGATTCTGCACTCAGATCCTCCGCACTCAGATCCCTCCGCACTCAGATCCCTCTGCACTCAGATCCCTCTGCACTCAGATCCTCGCACTCAGATCCCTCCGCACTCAGATCCCTCCGCACTCAGATCCTCCGCACTCAGATCCCTCCGCACTCAGATCCCTCCGCACTCAGATCCCTCCGCACTCAGATCCCTCCGCACTCAGATCCCTCCGCACTCAGATCCCTCCGCACTCAGATCCCTCCGCACTCAGATCCCTCCGCACTCAGATCCCTCCGCACTCAGATCCCTCCGCACTCAGATCCCTCCGCACTCAGATCCCTCTGCACTCAGATCCCTCTGCACTCAGATCCCTCTGCACTCAGATCCCTCCGCACTCAGATCCCTCCGCACTCAGATCCCTCCGCACTCAGATCCCTCCGCACTCAGATCCCTCCGCACTCAGATCCCTCCGCACTCAGATCCTCCGCACTCAGATCCCTCCGCACTCAGATCCCTCTGCACTCAGATCCCTCGCACTCAGATCCTCCGCACTCAGATCCCTCGCACTCAGATCCCTCCGCACTCAGATCCTCGCACTCAGATCCCTCCGCACTCAGATCCCTCCGCACTCAGATCCCTCCGCACTCAGATCCCTCCGCACTCAGATCCCTCCGCACTCAGATCCCTCCGCACTCAGATCCCTCCGCACTCAGATCCCTCCGCACTCAGATCCCTCCGCACTCAGATCCTCCGCACTCAGATCCCTCTGCACTCAGATCCTCGCACTCAGATCCCTCTGCACTCAGATCCTCCGCACTCAGATCCCTCTGCACCAGATCCTCCGCACTCAGATCCCTCCGCACTCAGATCCCTCCGCACTCAGATCCCTCCACTCAGATCCCTCTGCACTCAGATCCCTCCGCACTCAGATCCTCTCGCACTCAGATCCCTCCGCACTCAGATCCCTCTCAGATCCCTCCGCACTCAGATCCCTCCGCACTCAGATCCCTCTGCACTCAGATCCCTCTGCACTCAGATTCCTCCGCACTCAGATCCCTCCGCACTCAGATCCCTCCGCACTCAGATCCCTCGCACTCAGATCCCTCCGCACTCAGATCCCTCCGCACTCAGATCCCTCCGCACTCAGATCCCTCCGCACTCAGATCCTCGCACTCAGATCCTCCGCACTCAGATCCCTCCGCACTCAGATCCCTCCGCACTCAGATCCCCGCACTCAGATCCCTCCGCACTCAGATCCCTCCGCACTCAGATCCCTCCGCACTCAGATCCCTCCGCACTCAGATTCCTCCGCACTCAGATCCTCCGCACTCAGATCCCTCCGCACTCAGATCCTCCGCACTCAGATCCCTCCGCACTCAGATCCCTCCGCACTCAGATCCCTCCGCACTCAGATCCCTCGCACTCAGATTCCTCCGCACTCAGATCCTCCGCACTCAGATCCTCCGCACTCAGATCCCTCTGCACTCAGATCCCTCTGCACTCAGATCCCTCCGCACTCAGATCCCTCCGCACTCAGATCCCTCCGCACTCAGATCCCTCCGCACTCAGATCCCTCTGCACTCAGATCCCTCTGCACTCAGATCCCTCCGCACTCAGATCCCTCCGCACTCAGATCCCTCCGCACTCAGATCCTCCGCACTCAGATCCCTCGCACTCAGATCCCTCCGCACTCAGATCCTCCGCACTCAGATCCCTCCGCACTCAGATCCCTCTGCTCAGATCCTCTGCACTCAGATTCCTCCGCACTCAGATCCCTCCACTCAGATCCCTCCGCACTCAGATCCCTCCGCACTCAGATCCCTCTGCACTCAGATCCCTCCGCACTCAGATCCCTCTGCACTCAGATCCCTCCGCACTCAGATCCCTCCGCACTCAGATCCCTCCGCACTCAGATCCTCCGCACTCAGATCCCTCCGCACTCAGATCCCTCCGCACTCAGATCCCTCCGCACTCAGATCCCTCCGCACTCAGATCCCTCCGCACTCAGATCCCTCTGCACTCAGATCCCTCCGCACTCAGATCCCTCCGCACTCAGATCCCTCTGCACTCAGATCCCTCCGCACTCAGATCCTCCGCACTCAGATCCCTCGCACTCAGATCCTCTGCACTCAGATCCCTCGCACTCAGATTCCTCCGCACTCAGATCCCTCCGCACTCAGATCCCTCTGCACTCAGATCCTCTGCACTCAGATTCTCCGCACTCAGATCCCTCCGCACTCAGATCCCTCCGCACTCAGATCCCTCCGCACTCAGATCCTCCGCACTCAGATCCCTCTGCACTCAGATCCTCTGCACTCAGATCCCTCCGCACTCAGATCCCTCCGCACTCAGATCCCTCGCACTCAGATCCCTCGCACTCAGATCCCTCCGCACTCAGATCCCTGCACTCAGATTCCTCTGCACTCAGATCCCTCCGCACTCAGATCCCTCCGCACTCAGATCCCTCCGCACTCAGATCCCTCCGCACTCAGATCCTCCGCACTCAGATCCCTCTGCACTCAGATCCCTCCGCACTCAGATCCTCGCACTCAGATCCCTCCGCACTCAGATCCCTCCGCACTCAGATCCCTCGCACTCAGATCCCTCCGCACTCAGATCCCTCTGCACTCAGATCCCTCGCACTCAGATCCCTCCGCACTCAGATTCCTCCGCACTCAGATCCTCCGCACTCAGATCCCTCCGCACTCAGATCCCTCCGCACTCAGATCCCTCCGCACTCAGATCCCTCCGCACTCAGATCCCTCCGCACTCAGATCCCTCCGCACTCAGATCCCTGTGCACTCAGATCCCTCTGCACTCAGATTCCTCCGCACTCAGATCCCTCCGCACTCAGATCCCTCGCACTCAGATTCCTCCGCACTCAGATCCCTCCGCACTCAGATCCCTCCGCACTCAGATCCCTCCGCACTCAGATCCCTCCGCACTCAGATCCCTCCGCACTCAGATCCTCCGCACTCAGATCCCTCCGCACTCAGATCCCTCCGCACTCAGATCCCTCCGCACTCAGATCCTCCGCACTCAGATCCCTCTGCACTCAGATCCCTCGCACTCAGATCCCTCCGCACTCAGATCCCTCCGCACTCAGATCCCTCCGCACTCAGATCCCTCGCACTCAGATCCCTCCGCACTCAGATCCCTCCGCACTCAGATCCCTCCGCACTCAGATCCCTCGCACTCAGATCCCCTGCACTCAGATCCTCCGCACTCAGATCCCTCCGCACTCAGATCCCTCCGCACTCAGATCCCTCCGCACTCAGATCCCTCGCACTCAGATCCCTCCGCACTCAGATCCCTCCGCACTCAGATCCCTCTGCACTCAGATCCCTCGCACTCAGATCCCTCGCACTCAGATCCTCCGCACTCAGATCCCTCCGCACTCAGATCCCTCGCACTCAGATCCCTCCGCACTCAGATCCCTCCGCACTCAGATCCCTCCGCACTCAGATCCCTCTGCACTCAGATCCCTCTGCACTCAGATTCCTCCGCACTCAGATCCCTCTGCACTCAGATCCCTCCGCACTCAGATTCCTCCGCACTCAGATCCCTCCGCACTCAGATCCCTCCGCACTCAGATCCCTCCGCACTCAGATCCCTCCGCACTCAGATCCCTCCGCACTCAGATCCTCTGCACTCAGATCCTCCGCACTCAGATCCCTCCGCACTCAGATCCCTCGCACTCAGATCCCTCCGCACTCAGATCCCGCCACTCAGATCCTCCGCACTCAGATCCCTCCGCACTCAGATCCCTCCGCACTCAGATCCCTCGCACTCAGATCCCTCCGCACTCAGATCCCTCCGCACTCAGATCCCTCTGCACTCAGATCCCTCTGCACTCAGATCCCTCTGCACTCAGATCCTCCGCACTCAGATCCCTCTGCACTCAGATCCTCGCACTCAGATCCCTCCGCACTCAGATCCCTCCGCACTCAGATCCCTCGCACTCAGATCCCTCCGCACTCAGATCCCTCGCACTCAGATCCCTCTGCACTCAGATCCTCCGCACTCAGATCCCTCTGCACTCAGATCCCTCCGCACTCAGATCCTCCGCACTCAGATCCCTCCGCACTCAGATCCCTCGCACTCAGATCCTCTGCACTCAGATCCTCTCGCACTCAGATCCCTCTGCACTCAGATCCCTCCGCACTCAGATCCTCTGCACTCAGATCCCTCCGCACTCAGATCCCTCTGCACTCAGATCCCTCGCACTCAGATCCCTCCGCACTCAGATCCCTCGCACTCAGATCCCTCCGCACTCAGATCCCTCCGCACTCAGATCCCTCCGCACTCAGATCCCTCTGCACTCAGATCCTCTGCACTCAGATCCCTCCGCACTCAGATCCCTCCGCACTCAGATCCCTCCGCACTCAGATCCCTCCGCACTCAGATCCCTCCGCACTCAGATCCCTCTGCACTCAGATCCCTCCGCACTCAGATCCTCCGCACTCAGATCCCTCCGCACTCAGATCCTCCGCACTCAGATCCCTCCGCACTCAGATCCCTCCGCACTCAGATCCCTCCGCACTCAGATCCCTCCGCACTCAGATCCTCTGCACTCAGATCCCTCCGCACTCAGATCCCTCGCACTCAGATCCCTCCGCACTCAGATCCCTCCGCACTCAGATCTGCACTCAGATCCCTCTGCACTCAGATCCCTCGCACTCAGATCCCTCCGCACTCAGATTCCTCCGCACTCAGATCCCTCCGCACTCAGATCCCTCCGCACTCAGATCCCTCTGCACTCAGATCCCTCTGCACTCAGATCCTCTGCACTCAGATCCCTCTGCACTCAGATCCCTCGCACTCAGATCCCTCCGCACTCAGATCCCTCCGCACTCAGATCCCTCCGCACTCAGATCCTCTGCACTCAGATCCCTCTGCACTCAGATTCCTCCGCACTCAGATCCCTCCGCACTCAGATCCCTCCGCACTCAGATCTCCCACTCAGATCCCTCCGCACTCAGATCCCTCCGCACTCAGATCCCTCCGCACTCAGATCCCTCTGCACTCAGATCCCTCCGCTCAGATCCCTCGCACTCAGATCCCTCCGCACTCAGATCCCTCTCATATTCCTCCGCACTCAGATCCCTCCGCACTCAGATCCCTCTGCACTCAGATCCCTCTGCACTCAGATCCCTCTGCACTCAGATTCCTCCGCACTCAGATCCCTCCGCACTCAGATCCCTCCGCACTCAGATCCCTCGCACTCAGATCCCTCCGCACTCAGATCCCTCCGCACTCAGATCCCTCCGCACTCAGATCCCTCCGCACTCAGATCCCTCGCACTCAGATCCTCTGCACTCAGATCCCTCCGCACTCAGATCCCTCCGCACTCAGATCCCTCTGCACTCAGATCCCTCCGCACTCAGATCCCTCCGCACTCAGATCCCTCCGCACTCAGATCCCTCTGCACTCAGATTCCTCCGCACTCAGATCCTCCGCACTCAGATCCTCCGCACTCAGATCCCTCTGCACTCAGATCCCTCCGCACTCAGATCCCTCCGCACTCAGATCCCTCCGCACTCAGATCCCTCCGCACTCAGATCCCTCCGCACTCAGATCCCTCCGCACTCAGATCCCTCTGCACTCAGATCCCTCCGCACTCAGATCCCTCCGCACTCAGATCCCTCCGCACTCAGATCCCTCCGCACTCAGATCCCTCTGCACTCAGATCCTCCGCACTCAGATCCCTCCGCACTCAGATCCCTCCGCACTCAGATCCCTCTGCACTCAGATCCCTCTGCACTCAGATCCCTCGCACTCAGATCCTCCGCACTCAGATCCTCCGCACTCAGATCCCTCCGCACTCAGATCCCTCCGCACTCAGATCCCTCCGCACTCAGATCCTCCGCACTCAGATCCCTCGCACTCAGATCCCTCCGCACTCAGATCCCTGCACTCAGATCCCTCCGCACTCAGATCCCTCCGCACTCAGATCCCTCCGCACTCAGATCCTCTGCACTCAGATCCCTCCGCACTCAGATCCCTCCGCACTCAGATCCCTCCGCACTCAGATCCCTCCGCACTCAGATCCCTCCGCACTCAGATCCCTCTGCACTCAGATCCCTCCGCACTCAGATCCCTCCGCACTCAGATCCCTCCGCACTCAGATCCCTCCGCACAGATCCCTCCGCACTCAGATCCCTCCGCACTCAGATCCTCTGCACTCAGATCCCTCCGCACTCAGATTCCTCTGCACTCAGATCCCTCGCACTCAGATCCCTCCGCACTCAGATCCCTCCGCACTCAGATCCCTCTGCACTCAGATCCCTCGCACTCAGATCCCTCTGCACTCAGATCCCTCCGCACTCAGATCCCTCCGCACTCAGATCCTCCGCACTCAGATCCCTCCGCACTCAGATCCCTCCGCACTCAGATCCCTCCGCACTCAGATCCCTCTGCACTCAGATCCCTCTGCACTCAGATCCCTCGCACTCAGATCCCTCCGCACTCAGATCCCTCCGCACTCAGATCCCTCTGCACTCAGATCCCTCCGCACTCAGATCCTCCGCACTCAGATCCCTCCGCACTCAGATCCCTCCGCACTCAGATCCCTCCGCACTCAGATCCCTCGCACTCAGATCCCTCCGCACTCAGATCCCTCGCACTCAGATCTCTGCACTCAGATCCCTCTGCACTCAGATCCTCCGCACTCAGATCCTCCGCACTCAGATCCCTCCGCACTCAGATCCCTCGCACTCAGATCCCTCCGCACTCAGATCCCTCGCACTCAGATCCTCCGCACTCAGATCCCTCCGCACTCAGATCCCTCCGCACTCAGATCCCTCTGCACTCAGATCCCTCTGCACTCAGATTCCTCCGCACTCAGATCCTCCGCACTCAGATCCCTCGCACTCAGATCCTCGCACTCAGATCCCTCCGCACTCAGATCCCTCCGCACTCAGATCCCTCCGCACTCAGATCCCTCCGCACTCAGATCCCTCCGCACTCAGATCCCTCCGCACTCAGATCCCTCCGCACTCAGATCCCTCCGCACTCAGATCCCTCGCACTCAGATCCTCCGCACTCAGATCCCTCCGCACTCAGATCCCTCTGCACTCAGATCCCTCCGCACTCAGATCCCTCCGCACTCAGATCCCTCCGCACTCAGATCCCTCCGCACTCAGATCCCTCTGCACTCAGATCCTCCGCACTCAGATCCTCCGCACTCAGATCCCTCGCACTCAGATCCCTCTGCACTCAGATCCTCCGCACTCAGATCCCTCCGCACTCAGATCCCTCCGCACTCAGATCCCTCCGCACTCAGATCCCTCCGCACTCAGATCCCTCTGCACTCAGATCTCTGCACTCAGATCCCTCCGCACTCAGATCCTCCGCACTCAGATCCCTCCGCACTCAGATCCCTCCGCACTCAGATCCCTCCGCACTCAGATCCCTCTGCACTCAGATCCCTCCGCACTCAGATCCCTCCGCACTCAGATCCCTCCGCACTCAGATCCCTCTGCACTCAGATCCCTCTGCACTCAGATTCCTCCGCACTCAGATCCCTCGCACTCAGATCCCTCCGCACTCAGATTCCTCCGCACTCAGATCCCTCGCACTCAGATCCCTCCGCACTCAGATCCCTCGCACTCAGATCCCTCCGCACTCAGATCCCTCCGCACTCAGATCCCTCCGCACTCAGATCCCTCCGCACTCAGATCCCTCCGCACTCAGATCCCTCTGCACTCAGATCCCTCTGCACTCAGATCCCTCTGCACTCAGATCCCTCCGCACTCAGATCCCTCCGCACTCAGATCCCTCCGCACTCAGATCCT